TTTTGGTTTTAACAAGCATATACGGTTTCGCACAGAATTTCAAGCACAAGCTTTTTGTTAAAAAAAGATATCTCGATCAGATGTACAGTACGAAAGAACTCTTGAAAATACTAACAGCACAACTATTCCTGGACCACCCATTATTTCGTAAAAGTCGGAGCTCATTTTGGTTTTGTTTTGTTTTTTTGTTATATTTCCAATACATAAAGTTGAACTCACACATAGACAAACAAGATATATGTTAAAAAGTAATATCTAATAAGTTATTATTGAAAATTTATTGTATTTAACTGACACAACTCATTAAAAGGAGTATCCCATTGGTAAATAAGTTCTGCACATTTGGATTAGTAGAATTATATTGCTAATATAAAACTACATTTTAAGAAAAGTAATTATATATTCTGATAGCGCTCAGAATTCTCTATCATCCTGTGTATTTAAGTCTTGACTTGCATTTATTTGCTGAAAAATATTTCGAATACAGTGAAGACACCGTCACCCTCAGATCCCCACTAACTTCATTTTTTGTTCCTTTTTCATATGTTTTTCAAAATTTTTATCTATACAGTAATCCATCTTTTAAAAAAGTAATTATATATTCTAAGAGTCCTTAATATGTTCTATCACTCTATATATTCAGGTCTTGGCTTGAACTTATTTGCCGAGAAATATTTCGAACATTGCCAATGCGGATGATGGTATCTTCACTGTACTCGAAATATTTTTCAGTAAATAAATGTAAGTCAAGACTTAAATACACAGGGTGATAGAGAATTCTGAGTGCTATCAGAATATATAATTGCTTTTCTTAAAATGTAGTTTTATATTAACAATATAATTCTACTGATCCAAACGTGCAGAACTTATTTACCAATGGGATAACTTATTACAAGAGACATTGCAAAAGCTTTTCTTTTGTCGTCAACCCTTCAGATAAAAAAAAATGTTCAAAAGATTAGTTCTATCTAATGTTGTTGTTGAAAAGTATCATCGTAAATGAGGAATATACTTAAGCATTCAAAATATACAGTATCGATGAATCGATTTTTTTTCGAGGATCATCGTTTTTGATGATGTCCATAATGACTTGTTCTAAGATATGTAAGATGTAGGGAGGGAATTGTTTTTACTGTTGATGAATGTCATTTGTAAAAAGTTGATATTTTGGTAGCTTTTTTTTGAAAGCAGAAAAGAGTCATATAAGATGAGGCTTGTATGACTAAATAATAGATTTAGTCATTCTGCCATATAATGTTCAGTCATAAATATTCGTTAATATTTCAGACTTTTCGTAGATGCACATTGTCATATGGACAAAATGGAGAGTTGAGAAAATCGGTCTGTTATATTACTCTTGAATCTGTTTAGAAGTTTAGGTGCTAGACATCCGTATTTCTAAATCATAATGGCATGAACTTGATCAAGTCAGATTTTTTGTGAAAGAAAATTTGACATGATTTGTTTTTGTCTGAACTCACTTGTTTTCCATGTAAGTTTCGACAATTCTGAAATGAGTATTCTTCAACGCTCGGATTTGTTGACTACTACTCTATTATATATTTATGATTATGATCAAGAAAAAACCTATGACTTATGACTAGTGGAGTGCATGCTATTCATTCTGATGTTTAATGAAAAATTATTTTCAATTTAACTCTGAAACTGTACTCAAAAAATTTCTCTCGGCTACATTAGCAACTCAAAGGCAATATGAAAACAAGAGAGAGGGAGAATACATCTTTAATTCTAGTACTATCAGCCTGAGTCATTTTTGACCCATTTTTCAGACCTTCTTCTCAAAAACCGAATTTCCTACCAAGTCAAGTGAAATAACCTGATACTTTCAGGACAGATTGTGATTGTAGTGGAGAGACTATGGTAAAATTTTCACGTCTATATCATGATGTTTTAGGGAAATAATAATCAAATAATGGTCAAAAATAGCTCATTCGGCAACCCAAATTTCCCTTTTGTTACTTATACAATATATTTAATATTTTTTTTGTTCGAAAGAGTATGTCAAGGTGCAAGACATGACGGAGTCCTTCTTTTAAATTAAGAAGAGCTTGGTCATACTCTGTATCCTGACATGCTCTTTCGAACAGAAAAAATATTAAATATATTGTATAAGTAACAAAAGGGAAATTTGGGTTGCCAAATGAGCTATTTTTGACCATTATTTGATTATTATTTCCCTAAAACATCATGATATAGACGTGAAAATTTTACCATAGCCTCCCCACTACAACCACAATCTATCCTGAAAATATCAGGTTATTTCACTTGACTTGGAACGAAATTCGGTTTTTAGAAGAAGGTCTGAAAAACGGGTCAAAAATGATCCAGGCTGGTAGTACTAGGGTTAACAATGAAATTTGATAGTTTGAAGTTAATCAAAAAAAACAAATCGATTAGTATACTACCTGAGTGTAATAAATGTCGTCATGACAATGTAAAACACAAGCATGACTTTTCTCATAATAGACTAAAACAAATTTGTTAATCCCGAAAAATTAAATGTTTTTGAAAATGTTGTCATAAGAATGTGAAAGATCCACATACAGAATAGTGCATTATTAGACCCAAAAAAGAAAATCTCAAGATATGATGAAACAATAAAAGACTTGCGAATTTGAAGTTTTACACAAAATCCTAAAGGACTATATCTGAGCTGTATCGCAGAGAATAGTTGCTCTAAAATTAAATTGTGACTTTTAGTACAATCAAATGAAAAAAACACCTGTGAGCGCGCCGTCTGTAATTAAAATATTATAAAAATAATTTTTTTTGTTTTTTCCATCCTTCACTTTCATGAATATTTTTATCTGAAACATGAGAAAAAAGTATGTCTAAATTTATAAAAATATTCAATTCCAGAACAATAAGATAAAAATAGAACAAAATGACTCAATGATCATATGATTAATATTTAACATATTCTAGGGTCTCTCGCTAAAAACTAAAATATTTTTCTTCTTGCAAATCAGATTTTCATCAAGACAAAATTGGAAACGAGCCAAAACTTGGAATGATGTTGATTTTGCAAAAATTCAAATGAACTTTTCACTTTTTTCTCTCTATAGTCTCTTTCTCTTTCTCTTCTCTTCTCTCTTATTTTACCATTTTATCATCTCCTTTCTCTCTATTTCAGTCCATCCATTACGTGGTAGTTCAATTGACATTCATCCAAATGCTCGATGGCAACAGAATGGTATCACTGTCGCTGGAGGAAATGGACAAGGAAATGGAATCAATCAACTCTTAAGTCCATATGGTTTATATGTTGATGATGATCAAACAGTTTATGTCGCTGATCCACCGAATCATCGTATTATGGAATGGAAATGGGGTGCAACAAGTGGCCAAGTGGTTGCAGGTGGAAATGACGAAGGAAGTGGGACTCATCAATTGAATAACCCATATGATGTGATTGTCGACAAAGAGACAGATAGTCTCGTCATCTGCGATAGTTTGAATAAAAGAGTGGTTCGATGGCCTCGTCGAAATGGGACAAGTGGAGAAACAATCATCTCCAACAGCGATTGTTGGAGTTTGACAATGGACGAGAATGGATATCTCTATGTCGTTGACTTTGAAAAAGATGAAGTGAGACGATATCGAAGAGGAGAATCTCAAGGAATAGTGATTGCAGGTGGTAATGGATTTGGAGATGATCTCAATCAATTCTCTCTTCCACAATACATATTCGTCGATCGAGATCATTCAGTATATGTGTCTGAATGGCGCGGTCATCGTGTGATGAGATGGATGGAAGGTGCAAAACAAGGCATTGTCGTGGCTGGTGGTCAAGGAGTAGGAGATGGTCTTACACAATTGGCATATCCTCAAGGAGTCGTTGTTGACCAATTGGGCACTGTCTATGTGGCTGATCGAGGGAGTGGAAGTATCAAACGTTGGCCCAAAGGAGCCACACAGGGAAGTGTCATTGTTGGTGGAAACGGTAGTGGAGAACAATCGAACCAACTCAGTTTGCCCACCGGTTTGTCATTCGATCGACATGGCAATCTCTATGTCGTCGATTTGGGGAATAATAGAGTACAAAAATTCAACATCGAATCCAATAAATGAAGGACTAGGAAGTCAAAAATACTTGTTTCTGTATTGTAAACCTCCTAACCACTGTATACCGGTAAGCGCCACCGAAATCCTTGAATTCCTTGAAAAATTATAATAAAATATACCCCACTTATACAAAATATCTGACCAAAGGGTGTGGGTGTAAATCAATCAGAAAACAGGCCGATCTATATTCCTCTGATACAAATCAATCTGCTAGTCTCAACTCTTGCTTTTCGGCAACCGATGATGTCGGAATTATTTTCAAAGTTGAAAATTTTGTGCTTAATCAAATAATAAATAGAAATGCAGAGTTTGTTTGCGCCGACGCGTTTCGTGTTTATTTTATTTCAATAACAAAACACTCATCAGGGCTCTGCATTACAATGAAAAGCACATACGTAAAGACAAAATAGAAATAGTAAAATTGACAAACACAAGTATAGTGAAAAACTACATTAAAATTATATTGAATTACACATTACATAGCAAAGTAAAAGAGAGACAAACAGAAAAATCACTATTGAAATGAACAATTAAATAAAAAAAGAATAGCCAATATAATAAACAGTGAAATAAACAAAAAGCATTAATAAACTAATAAACTAAAAAACTGAGAAAATGTCATTCATTAATAAACTCAAGTGTCCCGGCTTGGCTCTAATTCATTATCAACCGGATCCAAAAATAAGAATATACTCATTCGAGAATATTTAAGAGTTAGACATTTTTATAAATTATTCAATTGTGAATGCCAAGAATGGGCCTAACTTCATTGATTGGAGATTCACCGAAGTATTTATTCCAAAGTACATGGAATTTAGCTAACCATATTTTCATCGCAGACGCATATATTTTTCTTACATATATAGTATATATTTTTCTTTTACACATTGCTCTACAATTTAATAATACCATTAAGAATATAGTTTAATAATTCATTAATAGCAGATTGATCAATAAATTCATCCAATGATTAATTGGTATAAATAGACTTCAGTTAATGGAATTTTTAATAAATTTTTGAAATTTGAAAGAATAATTGATTGATCAATAAATTTCGCTTGATGAAATTGGTTAATAACTACCTCATAGCCATATTTAATGAATTATAGATAATAATTAATTGAGGTAATTTAAATTAAGTGTCAATTTATTAGTAATTGATAACAAGTATAATTTATAACTTATATGATAAATTTAATAATATTAATTAATATAATACTTATGGTATATAAATTTAATTTATATACTCAATCTAATTAATTATCTCTAAAATAATTAAAATTTGAACATATCAAATAATTCGCCGTCAAATAATGTAATATATGTGACGTTGATTAACAAATAGATGAGAGAATTCATCAAATCAACTTAAAAAGGGTGTGGATGTGGGGTATGGTTATGTGGGTGTGTGTGGGGTGCGGGTGTGGG